AATGCAAAGAAGCTCTTTGGAATGATGCGTGCAACGCATATTTTCAGCAGAATCTGGCAGTCCTGCGTATTCTCTCGACCTCACAGATCGCACCTGGATGTGAAGTCCAGCTATGCGCCTCATGTTTACCCGATGAAAGTGTCAGGATGATTCCATATCCGAGAATTTTGACCGGGAATAGACTGTACTTACCCGCGAGAGAATTAAAACCTAGTCGTTCATTCCGTAGCGCTAAAATCGTTCATTCATTTACATCATCATAACAAATTCATTTGTTTTCCAAAACTCCTCGCGGGCCGCACAAAAGCCCTTAGAGGGCCGCACTTTGGGCACCCCTGCTCTACAACTTGTCGCAGTCTTTCTGCTCGCTCTTGAGATGTTTCGCGATGACGATAAGCTTGAGCATCGGTTCTGTTCCCTCGTCGCTCGCGACCTCCAGTTATAGGCGCCGAACCCAGGGAGGCAATGGGGCGCATGCCCCCCCAACATTATTTTTGGGGGGGCAATGCCCCCCCAAGATTGGCCAATATACTTCACTGCACGTTGCTGCACGTGATTCTCCTGAGGCGCATGCGTTTCATCCAGGAGAGGGGAGAGAAGTCAGCGCTCTCTCCTTCCTTCCCTCACGCGTCGTGTCTTACCCGTTCTTATTTAATCATTCTCCCTGGAGAAATGATTTCAGTGCACCATTTTGAACAAGTTCAAGTTTCCGATGGATCGCTTCGTGACTCGAAAATCCCGAGGATCTACGTCACAGCATGAAAGCGAAGGAGGGAATGAAGAGGGCAAGAAGAAAGGAAGCGAGCTTGAACTTGACATTGCCACCGATTCCCGTTCTGCACAGGGAAGGTTCGAAGGAGCATCAACAGTTAGGAAGTTTCGTGAAGAATGGAGAAGTCAGTATCCTTGGTTGATTTATGATGCAGAAAAGGGGAAAGCATTTTGCGAAGTTTGTTCAAAGTGTCACGAGCGAAATTTGCTTACGTTTTCCTGCATGCGAGATGCTTTCACTAAATGTGGTTTTGACAATTGGAAGAAGGCGCTCAAGCGCTTTGCCATGCATGAGAAATCGCAGTGTCACAAGGAAGGTGTCTTGAAGCTGCTGTCACAGCAGAAAGGTGTCAGTGTTAGAGCTCAAGTTTCTGAACAACATCAGAAGGAAATGCTGGAAGCAAGAGAAGCACTACTGATCATTTTTAGCTCTGTTAGGTACCTTTCCAGGCAAGGCCTAGCAATTCGGGGACATACAGATGACGATGCGAACTTCAATCAACTGTTGAAGTTACGCAGTGAGGATTCCGCATCCTTAAGAAAGTTTTTGATGGG